TACGTTAGAGATTTAAAAAAAGATGTGCAACTTGGGGAACCGTATTTTAAAGCTAATCATATCCTGACACGAGGCGCGTCATCCAGTGAGAATCGATTGTGGGAATCTTAGCCATAGCAGTGGATTCGCTTACTCGCATTTGTGACTGACTTAGAGAGGTAAAGTAAGTGTAAACCAAGAGAAAGGGGATACAATAACGTAGTATTAGTGAACGATCAATTCTCGCTGGAAAGTACAGATGTATACGCAACACCGTTCAATTATTTTCTTTTATCGTTGGATCGATCGGATAGTTAATTATTATCATTGCTACTGCTACCATTAATCTTATTACACTACTCTGCTACTATTATTAGTACTAGCACTTCCACTGAAAAAATATTATTATCGACAGGACCCGAGGGAGGGTGGGAGGGAGGGTGAGGTAATGAAACGAAAATCTTTTGAGTGGTCGAAATGTTACATTGAAGCTGAACGTTCATTATTTGTGAACCAAGTGCCAATGTAGATCAAATTATTTATTTCTAAATCCATACATTCGCCGCTCTTTGGATTCGCATAGTGTTATTCGATTTCGATTACGACATATTTATCGATAAATAGAGGAAGAATGGGGGTGCAACCGTGTCTCCCAATATTTTCCCTTTATAAAAGTAGCGAGCATTAAAGGAACAAAAAAAAAATAATTAGATACAAACGACGGTACATACGACACACGCAACACAGTATATTTATATTCAGAATCGTAAAAGTAGTCATGCAGGTTCGCATGTATATTGAGTAGATGTCTCTGTTGTTTGTTGGTACGCCTGGGCGAGTTTCTGTAGAGTATTATATTCAGATGGATCTCGCAGTCTATTGTGTACGACAAGGAAAATAATAATAATAATAATAATAATAATAACGATAATAATAACAATAATAATAAGCGAAAACAGGAGACAATTCGGATTTAGAAAGTAGAGGTTGATCCACGGAGCAAATGGATAGAATATCAATTCTCGAGTAGTATCTCCGTTATAAAAAGAAAAGGCGCATAAACCAGAAGCGTTCGCTTGTTTAAAAAAAATCACGAAAAATGTAATCTGTGAATATTTTCCTGTCTTAACGACTCCCTGCCTGCAGAAAAGTGTTTCATTGCGGCACATACATTAAAAGAAAGCTTCAATGTTTCTACGGATACACTACATATTGCATTTATAAACCAATTATAAATTTTAAAACAACACTTTTGACGCAGAACGCCCGGTATATTGTTTACTAATGTACATTAATAGTTTAATTTACATAATTCGGATTTTAAAGAGGAGGAAACAAACTTTCTTTTAACAAATGAAAACCGAAACTTTATTTGGACATTTTCAGTTGATATTTCAACAATTTTGGTTATTCTGCATTTCATTTTTATCAAACGAATTATCGAGAATATGATTGTTAAACGAATGCACAGGATAATTTTAGTTTCGAGTATGTAAACACATTACATGATAAAATTCAGACAATGTTCTTAAGCAAAGATAATCTATTAAAATGTAAACAGTCGTATGAGAAAAATGTATAAACAATTTTTTTTTTTAATTTATTTCCTGAGTATTGAGAGTTATGAATTGCATAGATGATTTTAATCTTGTCTTGCCAATTGTATCCTCTTCTTTAAAGGGATATATAACTATAGAGATTCTTGAAAAGAAAGAAGGAAACGCAAAACCATCTAACAAAATTGAAATACTGAAAGTGAGATTTGTGATCTTAACATGGAAGGTCTCAAAGTGTAAATAATATATATTAAAGAATATAAAGCAGTTTTAGGTGAGCATGTGTACCTTGTATTCGACACTTTTACAATTTCTGCTTGAGTTCCTATCGCAAGATGAGATGTAATTTATAAATGTGGTAT